GGTGGGGCGGGGTGGCGCCACCCCCCCGGGCCTGCAGGGAGAGTGGTCCTGGGGGCGTGACACCCCCCGGGCCTGCAATGAGAGTCTGGTTCAGCTTTGCTTGTGCTTTCTGGACTCACAACAGGCTTTGTCTCCCTTTCAGTGACAGTCTCCTACTGAAACAAGGGAAGAAATGAGAGAAACCAAGGCCTCCTGGACCCACGGGCGCTGACCAGCGGAAGATACGAGTGAGAAGCTTTGAAGTCCCCCCACTAGTACTGTCTGCCCTCCCTTTGAAGTCGTTAATCTGGTAGCCAGATTGGTTTCCCGTGCCCCTGCTCCATCTGCAGTGATCCAGTTACAGGATTGGGCTCTGCTCCTGCAATCCCTTTCTCGCCCAGCAGTTAAATTTGGGGAGGGGGCAAGGGTGCTTACTGGTGTTAACCCACGTGGATGTAGTCATTCACCTCTAATCTTCGTTAATTTTTAGATTCCTGTAGGGTAAAATTGGACTTCTTTGGGGTTTTTTGGCCAAGCAAGGGAGTTCCGCTGCCATCAGCTCCAGGCTTTTTTGGGTAACTTTTGTTTCTTCTTCACTCTTGATGCCAAGAGAAACCTGGGACTGAATTCAGGAAAACGTCACTCACAGGGGGCCGGTCGCTGCCGGAATATCTCATTTGTGTCACTCTCGGCTCAGCGATTCTTTCAGACATTTGTAAAAATTAAAATCCCCGAAATTTACGCTGTGTCCGAGCGTGCTCAGTGCCACGGAAAGGGGTTGTTCTGCGCAGCGGGGGGGCGGTGGTGCAGGACTTTGGGTTGGTGGAAGGCAAAGTCGGGGTGTTGCGTGGGGGGGAATGAGGCGGTGGGGACGCTCACGTGGCTGCTGGGGTCCCCGGGGCCGGTTTTGTAGGTGCCTGTAGCTGCTAGGGCTGAGCTTTACGCGCTTCTCCCCGGCGCAGCGACTTGCTCCGCGTCCCAACCGCTGTCGTTCCCCCCTGGTGCGCTGGTTTCGGCGGGGATGGAGTGGATTTTCTCCGTGGTGGTTAGGATGGGGCTGTGGGTCGGGTCTGTGGCGACAGCAGCGGCGGGACGGGTTTTTTTCTGCGCACCGAGTCCAGTCCTCTTCCGCTTCTCACGCCACCCCACCGGCGAGTGGGCTGGAGGTGCACGAGCAGTTGAGAGGGGACACAGCAGAAAAAAGACACTTGTTTTTTTCCTTGTGCTTTTCTGGCCAAAAGTAGGAGAAATCTTCCCCCGCTGACCAAACCCTTCTGTGCTTGGGTTTCCAAGGCAAAACCTTGTCTCCTTCAGGGACTGACTTTTTCTGTGCCTCATTGCGCTGCCCTGGGCCAGATTTAGGAGATTTCAGAGTCACGCCAGGGTGACGTCGGCCCCTTTGCCCGTCGGGGCACGTTGGTGACTCCTGGAGCTCGCCATCAACCCAAACACCCCAGATCCCTTTCTTCAGGGCTGTGCTCCAGCTTCTTGTCCCCCAGCCTCTACGTCCGTCCCGGATGACACCAGGCGCAGAATCTGGCATTTGTTCCTGTTGAATTTCACACGGTGGGTGACTGCCCGGCCTGCTGATCTCTCAACATCTCCCCCGTTAAGGCCTCCGTCCCCGGCAGGGAATCAGCAGCCTCTCCCTGATTCGGTGCTCTTCGGCAAGCTTGGGGTGTACTCCGCGTCCGGGTCGTTGGTGAGAGCTTTGAGGGGAACTGGCCCTAAAATGAAGCCCTGGGGAGCACCGGGAGTGACTGGCCTCCAGCTGGATGTTTTGCTGCCGTCTTCGAGCCCGTCAGCTGCATCGTTCACCCGTTGCGTCGTGCGCGTGGCTGGCTGCACGCTTGGCCTTGTCCGGAGGGATGCCGTGAGGGACAGCATCCCAAGCTTTCCTAATATCCAAAATCCCCCAAATCTGCCACCTTCTCTTTGCGCCCTAGGCGGGTTACCTGGCCCTGACCGCGAGCCCCGAGTTAGCGCGGCTTCACGAACGCGTGCTGGCCGGGACCGGTGCCTGCCTTGGCCTTAGTCCGTAACTCCCAGAAGAATCTCCATCACTTTACCAGGCACCGCAGGGAATCTTGACAGGCCTGTAATTGCCAGGGTCTTCTTACCCTGCTGGAAAACTGGGATGACATTTGCCAGCTTCCAGGGACCTGTGGTAAATAACCGGGAGGGGTCTCGCGGTAATGTTGGCCAACTCTTTAGGACGTCGGGATGAATCCCGTCGGGGTCCTGTAGATGTGTGCGCAGTCGGTCGCTGCAGCAAATCCCGCACCGATGAAAAGTCGGCTGGGAGCGTCT